GATGAAGAAATTTTGTTAGGAAAATTGTTGGGTATTCTATTCTTCTTATCTGGACGAGGTGATCTTTACAGTTGCTTGATGTTGGTGGTGGTGATTTTCCACCCTTCCTTTTGGGATAGCGCTCTCCTTTGAGCGTCTGATTCCAAGGATGTAATGATTTTTGTTATTGTTTCTTAGATTTGATTCTCCAGGATTGGATCTCTTTGGCATTCCCTTTGTTGGGTTGTTTCTTTGTTTTCCCTTTTGTGATCTTTCATTTTTTTCCAATGAAATCTGGTTTTTCATTCAAAAGAAGAAAGGAAAAGAAAACGAAAAAATGTTTGGAAACATGTGGTATTTATTACTTGACTAGTGTTATACGTAGGTAAGATTATGTTCTACTTCAATAGATTGATGGAATGTCTTGCAAACACTGTCTATTACACTGCTCTGATAGGGAGGCTTGCAATTTGTAGTCTTGAGCTCAGGCAGGGAAGTGTCAGCACTAGGACGGAAGAGAGTTTCTGCTTGCTTTTTTATTTGGTTTTATGACGTTTTGTAGCATTGTTCCTGTTGTTTGCACTTGGATTTGAGTTGACGACAAAAAAATCTGGATTTGGTAGTTGTACTCGTATTGGTAATTTTACTGATTGATTGAAGTGTGAACCCTTTTGATTATTCTTTTTTACCGTTTGTTTTGCTCAAATAGTCCGTTCTTTTTTTTTCTTTTTTTTTTTTAAATCTTTTTGTTTGTAGAATAAAAGTTCATCGGGTGGGACGTCTTCTACCACACAAGCTGCACCAGTGTCAAAGGTAAGGAATAACAATTCTATGTTTTTTTTACTGGCCAGTGGTAATGGCGATGATAGTCTCAGTGTGTCTCTGAATGCCTTAAATGTTGTAATTCACTTCTGTCCAATAAATTCTTTGTTGTATGTATTTATTAGTCACCTAATAGTTATTACCCGTCTCTGTAGACAGATGTTTATCTAAAAAAGTTCATGTTTATTGCTTAAATAGTAGAGTCCTTAATTTGTCTTCAAGTACTTATATTATTTATTGACAGTATGATACAGTTCTACATGTGATCATCTCCAAATGATCATATACAAACGTGGCATGATGTTTGATGCTCTGTTGCCAACCCTTTGGAGTTGGTGCAGTGTTCTTCAATAGTGATTATTTACTTATTCCCATAAAATACTGTTAGTTATCTACTCATATTCCTGATCGAGACGTAATTAAAGAAAAAAATATAGATATAGTATAGTATGACAAGGAGGACCTCCTTGCAGGCACCACAGAACACTGCCCCTGCACCTGCTGCAACTCCAGTCTCAACATCTGAAGTTCCTCTACCAACTTCAGCACCGTGAGTTCAGATCTATCTGCTATGTCTTTCACTATATCTGTCCAGAATAATTGTTCTTGGAGCATTTATGATTACGACAATGATCTTTATTTCAGTCCGGCTACTATTACCACCTCTTCTCTTCCAGCTCCAGCGCCAGCTCAGGCGCCAGCTCCAGCGCCAGCTCAGGCGCCAGCTCCAGCGCCAGCTCAGGCGCCGGCAACCACTGTCTTGTTAGTAGTTCTTCCTTCCCGTTATACCTTTTTTATTCAATGCAAAGGTTTATTCGCTCTTTCTTTTCAGACTTTTTAAGTTTTCTAAATTTCCTTTATTGTACTTCGTGAAAAACAGGCCAGAATCTGATGTCTACAGCCAAGCAGCTTCTAACCTGGTTGCGGGCAGTAACTTGGAGGAGACTATCCAACAGATTCTTCTCATGGGCGGAGGGATTTGGGATAGGGACACTGTTGTTCAAGCTCTTCGTGCTGCTTACAATAATCCAGAAAGGGCTGTTGATTACCTTTATTCTGTGAGTCTATTTGCAGATGTCTATATTTTTTCCATTCTACTGTTATTTTTGAGGTTTTCCTTCACATTTAGAGAATGAAATTATTAATGGTTATACTTTTATCTCTGCAAGGTCAATTGTTTAGAATGGCATTATTTGAACAAAATTATCTCCTGTAGGGCATACCTGAACAAGTTGAAGTTCCACCTGCTGCTCATGTTCCGTCTACTGTTCCAGTGACCAACCCTTCCGCTCAACCTGCACAGCCTGCCCAACCTGCGTCTGCGACAACCACTGGTCCAAATGCTAATCCATTAGATCTCTTTCCTCAGGTAGGAAAAGAAAAATTAATCAACTTATAGGTTCGTTTGCAATTATTGGTAGAGAGAAGAATAATGAGCAATGTTATGGGTTTTCAAAAATTTGCAAGTTTATGATTTTTTTTTTTATTCCTTTTTACTTCAGGGTGTACCTAATTTAGCTTCCGGAGCCGTTAGTTCCGGCAGTCTTGATTTTCTACGAAATAGTCCTCAGGTCCTTCTCTCTCCTTCTCCCTCTCACCACATACAAACAGACACCACGTTCGCATCATGTATTGCTCGCCTCTGAAAATTTGTTCTTTCTCATTTCAGTTCCAAGCTTTGCGAGCTATGGTGCGGGCTAACCCTCAGATACTCCAGGTTCTTCATCTAGTACACTTCATGCTTAAGCAAGGTGCCATATGTTGTCATTTTATACAAGTTTTGTTTTCTTTGTTTTTATTTCAGCCTATGCTTCAAGAGTTGGGTAAACAAAATCCTCAGCTTATTAGACTTATTCAAGATCATCAACCTGACTTCCTCCGCTTGATTAATGAGCCTCTTGAAGGAGAAGGGTAAATTTCTGTTCCCCACATCTCAATTTGAAACGATGGTGGAAGTTTATGTATTAATAATTTATAGCTTGTTCAGGAATGTACTTGGGCAGCTTGCTGATGCTATGCCGCAGGCTATAACTGTAACCCCAGAGGAACGGGAAGCCATTCAACGGGTTAGTTCACCTTCTCTATTATCTTATGATGATAAAGACAACTGAATTCATCTTGATTCTTAAATTGATATTTTGGATTATTGTCTTTCCCTCCCAACAGCTTGAGGATTTGGGTTTCGACAGAGCTCTAGTGGTGGAGGTTTTCTTCGCCTGCAACAAGAACGAGGAAATGGCTGCGAACTACCTTTTAGATCATATTCACGAATTTGAGGGTAATCAGAATTAATTAGTCCATTTCTGTTTTCGTTGTGCCCATTTTAAGAAACCCCAAAAAGGAAAGGAAAAAGAAATGACGGCCAATCCACCAACAAGAAAACAAAAAGGAAAGAATCTGTGTATTTATCCGTTGTGCTCCCCTCGGGTCTCTGTCTCTGTCTCTCTCTCTTTTCGCCTCTGGCCACATTGTGAATGGTGCTTGTTGTGAACATATAGATGTGAAGATGCATTTTATCCTTTTCAATTTTAATTCGCAACTCAATACTTCGAGCCTGCCATCCCTTCATGTGATATATACAGTCCCTTCATTTTATTCGTTGTTTTCAACTACTTTTTCTACGTCCTTTTTTTTGTGTCTTTTATTTGTTGAGTGATGTTGCCTGCCTTAGACACCAAATGATTTTTCATGCAAGTTTGGAATGCTGACAATCGTCGAAGTACTTCTTTTATATAATATTAACCGCTTTATTATTCTGTTGATGTAATCTATAAGTTTCATTAATGCTTTTAGAAATTATTTTCAACCTACGCCACTGCATGCACTATTTGATCATTGATTTGTTCTTTTAGGGGCTGTTTGAGGCCGAAGTGGGAGAGTTATAGAGCTTGAAATTCTATTTGGAACAGAGAGTCTCTGTTTTGGGCGCTGAGTTTAACGAGGAATTTTGTAGTTAGGATAAACAAGTTTTTGTTTAGAATTTTTTGTTCAACCATTCAATGAAGATAGATTTCAACAATTTTTTAAAATCTAATTGAAATATGAACTGTATGGATATTTTACAATCTCGATTGGGATAAATGTTCATAAGAACAAAAAAGAAAAAGGGAACATTATGCATAGCAAGCTTGGTATGTGCATGTTAGAAATCACGACTCTCCACAATGGTATGATATTGTCCACTTTGAGCATAAGCTCTCATGGCTTTGCTTTGGGCTTCCCCAAAAGGCCTCATACCAATGAAGATAGTATTCCTCACTTATAAACCCATGATCTTCCACTAAATTAACCAATGTGGGACACTCCCAATCCCAATAATCCTCAACAGTGCATACAATGTAAAAAGCCCAAATAACAAAATTAATTCAATAGCCAACAAGGCGTTGAATATAGGCTTCTCAAAATTAATTCAACCTTTAGTAAGGGGTCAAATTCATTATTCTAGGAGACGTAAAAGAAAAGTTGGTCATTTGTCCCTATCCATGCAGTGCCTTTTTGTTAAATAATTGTTAGTAATAAGCTTAATACTATCAATATAACGATAATTGAGTATAGTATTAGTTTTATTAGATGAACACGACTCTTCACAATGGTATAATATTGACGTTCTTGTGGCTTTGCTTTGGAGTTTCCCAAAATATCTTATATCAATGGAGAGAGTATTTCTTGATTATAAACCCTTAGAGAGTATTTGATTATAAACCTGGAGAGAGTATTCCTATTCCTTGATTATAAACCCCCCCCCCCCCCCCCNCCCCCCCCCCCCGTATAATCCTCCCGTAGCCCAAGAGACCTTATATCAATGGAGAGAGTATTATTTGATTATAAACTCCTAGAGAGTACTCTCTCGATTATGATTATAAACTCCTAGAGAGTATTCTCTCGATTATAAATCCAAACTTTCATTCATCCAACTAATTTTAGGGTACAATCATAAAAGAATTCAAACAAGAAGTGGAGTGGGGTTACATCCAACTCAATCGAGTGACCCATATTCAACTCAACCAATTAATATGTGACTTGGAAAATACGTAAATGTTTCCAGTTGGGAAGGGACAGAGAATTGTCAAATTTCAATGAGAAGGTCAAAGATGGGATGAGACTGAATGAACGAACCATGTCTTCCCCCACTGAAATGGCGCGAAATTAGTGGCATCACCGTACACCTCTTTCTCTCTTCTCTCTCTCTCTCCTCTATTCACCGTTTCGAAACTTTCAATTTTCTGTTGGACAAACCGCGTCCGCAGCCAACTTCGCAACTTCCCAGAAACATAAAAACAACATTCATTCAAATCCCCGGCAGAAGAAAATGGGAAGTTGAATTCCTTTGGATTACTTGCAAATTTCAACACACGGCTTTCTCATTACTTTACCTCGTTTAATGTGAAATTTGCGATGAGTTGGTGAAAATTATGTATTATTATATGGTGGTGGTGGTGGTGGTGGTGGATTTTGAGTGCGAGAATAAAAATGGAAGATGGTGCCACCCCTCTTTCCGCCATAGCCGAGTCCTTCGAAGGGCTTGCCAAATTAGTATGTTCCTTTAAGGAGGATTCCTCACAACAACTCCGATTGGATGTTCTCTGTGACGCTTGTTCTCTCGTCTCTGTTCTCTTTAGTTCTCTCGGCCTCGCCTTCAAATTCGCCGAGTTAGAGTACGTCTCCAAGGTTGTTATATTCCTCCTCTCATTCTTCTTCTTCTTCTTCTATTTCATTTCGTTTCAGAGTCGCCTGATGAAAGATGTGTTAGGAACTACGACTCTACGACTCTCTGCAATTATATGATATTTGTCCACTTTGAGTATAAACTTTCGTGGCTTTGCTTTTGGTTTCTCCAAATGACCTCATATCAATGAAAATGTATTTTCTTACTTATAAACACACGATCATCTCCTTGTTAATCAATGTGAGACTTTCTCCCAACAATCCTCAACAACCCTCCTCACCCTCCTCTCGAACAAAGTACATCATAGAGCCTCCACTAAGGCTTAGGGAGCCCACGAACAATCTCACTTTAATCAAGGCTCGACTCCTTTTTATTGGAATCCTCAAACAAAATACACAATTATTCGACCCTCGAGTCACCTTTGATTACAACTCACAACTTTTTTGATCGACACTAAATCACTTTTCACTACATCTCACAACTTTTTTGTTCGACGCTTGAATCACTTTTCACTACATCTCATGACTTTTTTTGTTCGACACTTGAGGATTCTATTGAAATGGCTAACTTAAGGGCATGACTCTAATACCATGTTAGGAACTACGACTTTCCATAATGGAATGATATTGTTTACTTTTAGCACAAGCTCTCATGACTTTGCTTTTAGCTTCCCGAAAGACCGGCCTCAAATGTATTTACTTACCTATAAATTCACGATCATCTGCTTAATTAGCCAATGTGGGACTTCCTTGTCACCACGGTGAACAAGATGTTGGAAATTCTAATGGAATCACCCCTTTTGATGGTTTTCTTTTTTTTCTTTTTTTTTTTGTTTCAGGTGCGTGATCTTTCGGAAGCTTCAAAGAAGCACGAGACATTGCTCACAATACTTGATGATGATATTGCAAATGACACAGTTAAAGCACCTGGAAGCAATTCTCGCAATCTGCGTCGAGTTAGACAAGGTTTGGACCTTGTTAGAGCTCTGTTTGAACAGTTTATGTCCACTGAGTAAGTTCTCTGTCCCCCTTTTCCCTTCCTTCCTGCAATCAAAACTCATTAAGTTCACTTAAATCCTGCAATATCAATTCTCCACAAGTTAGATCTCTAAACTAAAAGTTGGGATTGGGTTAATAATGAATGCAAAGGTCAAAACTTACTAGCTTTGCTGCCTTGTATCTCTAGAGAATACTCGTTAAAGGAAGCTGCTTCAACAGCTTATACACAAGTTTGTGCGCCCTACCACCCTTGGACAGTCAGAATGGCAGTTTCTGCTGGAATGTATACTCTTCCAACGAGGGAGCAGCTTCTGCTAAATCTCAACGAGACCAGTAGGCGCATTTCATATACTCTTTTCAATTATAAACACCTGAATCTGTTGTTTACACAATCAAACTTACAACACCTCTTTCATTCACCATTGCAGATCAGTTAGCAGAGAAGAAAATGAAAAGGTATATCGACGCTTCGGGTCCAGTCATAGAATATATTGACAAGCTTTACATTTCTAGAAATATCAGCTTGGACTGGTGACTTTCATGTCCTTCTGAGGACAACCGCTTCTTCACTTTATCTTATCTGAGCAAGCAGCACATCTCAACAGTGTTAGTATATCACAAAAAGAAGCCTTCCATGGATGCTTCAAACAAATATAAGCTTAACAGTTTCATGAAAGTATTCATGATACATGTTTTGTCTAGTGTTATTGTCTGTGTACATAATTGAATTTATAACATGTTAGATATGGAACTTTAAGGTCGCATTACCTTTCAATTTGAGTATAATAAAGTAAAAGGGTTAACATCGACATGATTTCAACACAAAGTATTGTGCTTATTGGACAATTAACAGGCAGCACTTTCTAACATCTAAACAGAGGCACAAGTTTAAAGGTTAGAAGTTGCTTAAGGAACTCTCAAGAAATTTGAGTTCATTAAGCATTAAACCCTTGAATGACAAACCAACACGTAATGTCTGGCTGGAATCACGAACACTAAATACCTTTGTTGATTAGATAAAACTATCTTTCATCATCCATTGAGTTTCTACCAATACAATTCCCGTCTGCAGTAACTTTGACAAAGAAAATCTACTCATTATTGCTCCTGAAATATTTCAGAAATAGAAATAAATATTAAGCAAAATCAAATATCAATAGGACCTCCAACACAAAAAGGATTCCTCTGAGGCTCTGTTTAATTCAAACTTCCATCACTCCGTGGCCAAAAGAGAATCTGGATGTTTCTTTTTCCTTCTTGCAGGCAAGTTTTAGGCGATGTTGAAACTTGAAAATGGACTTCTACAAGGTCAGGCATTCTGGATTCTCAACTATCTTTGCGAAGGTATGAAGGAAGGCAGCTAAGTCAGCACCATAAACTATTCGATGATCGGCGGTCACATTCACCTGCAAAATGCAGTATTTGTCATTAGTTCAGGTTCATAGAAGGCGTGCAGAAATCCTTAGGCAAGAAGCTGGAACAAATAAAATAATTAAAGAATGAACACACCATGAATTGAAGAAGAATTGATGTACATTAAACACCGCAACCAGACGTACTGATAAATTTTACCAACTTGTGCATAGTGTAGATATGAAACATGGGTATGAACGTAGATATTTCTAATAATTTCCGGAGGGAGAAGTTTGTTTCCACCTTCTATCCGATTCAAGAAGCGTTGCCCATGACATGTGTGACAGGAGTGGAAGGTCGTGGATATATAGGTTTAGGGAAAATGTGCTTTGGATGCCAATCAACATTAGGCCTGTCACCCACCTTAGGGTTCTCAGTTAATCAACCGACGAACTAAACTAAAACTATTAAAAACAGAATAACAGGGCTGAGCACCAAAGACCCTTCCATCAGGTTGCCCACATTTAAAGGAAAGAAGCTAGGCTGAAAATCCTAAATCAGGAAGGTAATAGACATTTAATTTCGAGCAAGTTATGGTCAAAAGGATCAAACTCAATGTTCACAAGGGCAAACATGCCCAATTTTGGCGAGACCAGTGGAAAGATGAAGTGGCTCTATCCTCCTATTTCCCTAAACTCTACCCTCTCTTGGGAAAGCAACTGGCTTTTAATAATCAATCCCGGATTCCCTCTTCTTGTTGGGACCTTAGTGTCAGAAGGATCCTAATGATAGAGGCTTAATGACTTCTCCTTGGGCACTAGCAGTGACTTCTGGGATATGGGGCAAGGACAAATCGATCTCTTCTTGAACAAACACTCTGTATGGTGATCTCATAAAGGCTCTTCCTTCATTCCCTCTCTTGATAGCCTTACTTTCAATTGCCTCAGAACGCCCCTAAAAAGTAAATGCTTCCATTTGGGAGCTTATTCTTGGTAGTGTCAACATCAAAGAAAAAGTCCAAGCCTTAATCCTAACACCGCTCTGCTCCAAATTGGAAATTAACTATACAAAACATATAAATAGATACAAATCTAAATCACATCCTACAGACCTCATTCCTACCAATAAAACACTTGTCTTTCATTCTCAAGTAAACAAAACTCGATTTAAACATAGGCGTGTCTACTCCCACGCTTCCCATGCCTTTGCTAAAGTATTGTTATCAGTCCTTGGCAAAACTTAACCCAAAAAAAAAAAAAAAAAAAAAAAACCCTTAAATTGGATAGCTCGGAATAGAAGTAGAATCTTTGTGTTGATTGTGATTCGTGAATACAGTGAATGGAATGAGAATCTTTTTGTTAATTGTGATTCGTGAATACAGTGAATGGAATGAGAATCTTTTTGTTAATTGTGATTCGTGAATACAGTTTAATGTAATTTAGATGGCTTAATGGCTTACAGTTCCTCTGAAAGATCAGAGACTGAACAGTAACTAACCTTAAATTCAGCATTCAGATAAATAGAGATGAGAACGGAACAAATTGCCAGAAGAAACAGAACTCACCAACATTTTACTTTTCACGCTGAAAAAGCCATCAGCGTCCGTGACAACAGTCGGCTTTGAGGCTCCAACGGCCATGATAGCCCCCTGACATAGAGAGAATAATTCAACACAGCTTTGAGAATCATAAAGACAAGAAAAATCCATTGCCCGAGTATAAGAAGCCTAATTCTCATTACGCACCTGGCCTGGAGGAAGTATAGCATCGAACCTGTCCACTCCAAACATGCCCAGATTGGAAAGAGTGAAAGTTCCTACAGGCAGTATAACTCAGTTTTACTATCCTAAAGCCCAAAAGTACAATAAATGCATTCAACAAAAAGAGAAGTGTCGGAACCTGAATTGTATTCATGGGGCTGAAGCTGCTTGGATCTAGCTTTCTCGACCAACTCTTTCCATTTTTGAGATAGTAGGTAGAGGTCCAACTGCATTGAATAATAAATAAATAACGAGATACTAAGGGCAGTATCCATACTTTGGTATAGTATATCAAACGATGTTCATCTATAATACTATCGACTTGCCTTATCCGCAGCCTGAAGAACAGGTGTTATCAAACCACCATTGATAGCTACGGCTACTGCAATGTTAATGTTGTCATTATATGTAAAGCTCTTCCCGTCTTTACAGCTTGCATTTACAACCGGATGCTGAGCGAGGGCCATTGCAGCAGCCTTGGCCAAGAGGGCAGTCATTGTGACGCCCTTCGGTTTCACCTGAAATCATTGCAATAACCCAACTAAAATGTCGATAATTTCCAAACGGATGTAACAAAAAGCCCAAAATCCAACTAAATCACGTAAATACTATGTACCTTCTCATAGAGCGCATCAAGAGCATCAGTGGACACCGGATAACCAACTCGAAATGTAGGGACAGAAAGACTCTCCACCATATTCTTGGACACCGCCGCCTGCATTGTCGTGAATGGCACAGTCGTTGAGCCAGGAACTGGTGGGGGCAAGTTGGAAGGAGCTGCAGTCGCTTTCGATGGAGTAGAGGCAGCCACTGGAGCAGTCTCAGAAGCCGCAGGTGAAGCTACATTGCTTACAACAGGCTTCGAAGGAGCAATTCCCGCCGCAGCCTCCACATCCGCCGGAGTAATTCGACCGAATGGACCACTACCAGTTATCGATCCAATATTCACCTTGTGCTGTTTCGCTAGCTTCTTCGCCTGAGGAGTTGCCACAATCTTCCTCGGTCCATCCGACGCCGGCTTGGTCGGCGGAGGAGACGGCTGAGATATAACCGGAGGAGAGGGAGAAACATCAGCTGCTGGAGTCGAAGGCTGAGATTTAGACGCGGCTTTAGCCTTGGCCTCAGCGACCTCTTCTTCAGTCTCAGCCAATAAACCAATCGAAGCTCCAACAGGAGCAGTTTCACCCTCACCAACAACAATAGCAGCAAGAATTCCATCATAGAAAGTCTCCACATCCATATCAGCCTTATCAGACTCCACAACGACGACGCTCTCGCCTTTGGATAAAACATCCCCTTCGGATTTGATCCACGAGACGATCTTTCCCTCAGTCATCGTGGAGCTTAGTGCAGGCATGAAAATCTCTCGGATCTTGCACTGAACAACTGGGATCCTCCGGCAAGAATTGGTGGGAAAAAAAGTGCATGAGCGGGAGGACCTCCATGGGAGGGGAGAAGAAACGGAGGAAGAGAATGAAAAAGGAATGGTGGTGGTGGTGGTGTTGCTGGAGACAACAGCTCGAGAAATGAACGAGGACGCCATTGGAGAAATGAAGTAAAGAAGTAAGTATAAGAAACAACGGCGGAGCGGAGAGGACGAGGCGTTCGTTGGCGGATTTGAGCTGACTCTACTCCATTTCCATCGCCCCCCCGTGGCCCCACCAGCACATCTCCCTACAGTATATTTTCGAGCATTTTAATCTTGTCGGGTGTAGACATGATTTTGGTAAATAGTCATACACTCTCCTATTGACATAAACATGAAATAGTGGACAACACATCCAGAACAAGCATGAACGAGACATTTGACATGCGGCCATAGATAATACACCTTTGACAAACACGACCATGACACCTTACTTGTTCCCTATGTAGTGGCACATACGATACAATAAGTGCGAGGCTCGTGACTGAGACATCCGACATGCAGCCATGGACAGTACATCTTGAACAAGCATGACCGAGACATCCGACATGCGCCCATAGACAATACGCCTTAGACAAACATGACCATAACACCTCACTTATTCACTATGTAGTTGCACACCCGATACAATGAGTGCGAGGCTCGTGACATCAATGCATGGTCTGTTCACACACTTGGACTCTCGAGATCTAACTAATTGGGCCTGCCACGTGTTTCGAGTTTCATTTATCATTGGGCGGATGTTTTTACTTTTGTTTAATTATTCATAATTTCAGTCACAAATAAAATTTTAAAAACTTCATCAATTTTTATCTCAAAAAGATATTTTTTGGATTGAAAAGGCGGTCTCATCTTGTAACAGTAATAATGTCATGTTATTCAAGTGGCAAACCAACACCTTGTCGCGGACTTGAGTCGACATGTCGTCCCAACACTACAACGTTTGATTCATGACAATGATAGGTACACGTAGGAACAGTTTCTGGCCCGTTTGCGTGACTCTTATTATTGGTTTTCTTAAAAAAATATGACTAATTTTTTCTCTTCATAACTTAATCCTTGGAAATGAAAATTTATGATGTCATAATTTATAAATATTACGCCATATTTGTGAAAAAATGTTTTTTAGAAGACGCCAAAATAGACCATAAATCCAAGGACTAAAAAATGGTTGAAAATGAAGACATGGGTTATTGTTTGTTGGTAGTGGAGCGCCCATGATTAATACGCCTAATCCACGTCACTATTTGTTAAAGCTTTAATTACAAGCTAATTATAAATTTAAAATAAAAAATAAGTGGTCAAGACGGCGACGTATTGTAGTCCTTGGAGCCGTTGGGGATTGGGAGCGGAGCATGGCGTGAGCTCTGTCGCTTCCTCCCAGCAACTTTCCCTTTTTCCCTGTGCAATACGGCGTCGTTTTCCGCTCGGACGCCACTTGGCGACTGCGAAGGTTAAAAAGAGAACTGAAAATCAAAAGGTAAAAATGATTGGATTTTTTTGGTTTCTATTATATGAATTAATTTAGTCAGTGTTTATAATTATTTAGTATTTGAATGAACTAAAACCACATCTCATCGATAAAAACTTTAAATAATTGAAATTGTTAGACGAACACGACTCTCATCATGGTATGATATTGCCTACCATAAACTTTCATGGCTTTGTTTTGGGTTTCCCAAAAGGCGTTAGTATTCCTCACTTATAAATCCATGATCATTCCCTAAATTAGCCGACGTGGGACTTTCATCATCCAATAGAAATTACTATTTATACGAATAAAGTTGTGAGATCTCACATGCAACGAATGCCAGCAAGAATGCTAGACCTCGAACGGAGTGGACTGTGAGATCCTAAATCAGTTTGAGAGAAAAACGAAACATTCTTGATAAGGGTGTGGAAACCTGTCTTTAATAGACGCATTTTAAAACCGTGAAATTAATTATGTAACGGGCTAAAGCCATCAATATCGATTAACAGTGGATTTGAGCCGTTACAAACGTACATGAACACGGTACAATAAGAACACTTTTCATCTCAATTATTTAATAATTGAGTGATTAGATTGATAGTTTTTTTCAAGTCAAAGTGCATATTTTAACCGAAGTAAAAAACAAGGGAGTTTTTGGTCACACAAGCAACCTCGAAGGAATCATCCATGAGAGGAAAAAATTGGCTAACTCTTTGCGGAAAGCAGCTGTCATTGTGAAACGAACCATCTTTGTCAACTCTTACTTATCTTCCTTTCCCCTTCTCCTTTATCGCAACCACTTAAACAAAGCTTTTCACAGTCCCATCATCCATGGCTCATAAAATCCTCCCCTGTTTCGCCGGCAGCGTTTAACCGGACCATGGCGGAGCGGCCCAACAAGACGGCGGCGGCGGGAATTGGAGTTCGGAAGCTTAAGATTTTCCCTCATGCTTCTAGCCTTGCCTCCGTCGAATCCTTATCTCTGCCTCTCGTCTCTGCTTTTTCTCTGTATCTCCGCCGTTTTTCGAGCTCTCCGGCTGAAATTAACGCTTTATGGTCCGTGATTCTTCAGGTTCAGGAAATCGTGTTCGCGGCGGACATTGGCTGCGCTGAATGCCAGAAGAAATTAGCGAATATTCTTGCCAAAATGAACGGTGAGTTTCTGGGAATTTTGGGGCTCTGTTTCCTCGGAATCTGATTCCATCTTCCAATTTCAATGGCCTGTTATTTCTAACCTAGTATTAGAGTCATATTCGGTGTAGTCAATTTTAGACGAACACGACTCTCTACAATAGTATGATATTGTCCACTTTGAGCATGAGCTTTCGTGGCTTTGCTTTGGGTTTACCCAAAATGCCTCCCGTCAATGGAGAGAGTATTATTTGTTTATAAACTCATGCCTCCAACAGTCAAAAGTGACTAAAGTGTCGAACAAAGGGTGTACTTTGTTCGAAGGCTCAAGATAAAGAGTCGAGCCCGAATAAAGGGAGATTATTAGAGGGCTCCATCGATCTCAGGGAGGCTCTATGATGTAGTTTGTTCGATGAGAGAATTGTTTGGAGGGAGTCCACACCGGTAGTTTCTCATTGGTGTGAGATTTTTTGGGGAAGTTCGAAGTAAAGCCATGAGAGCTTATGGTCAAAGTGGACAATATCATATCATTTCTGTTCCTTTTTAGAACCTGAGTTGTTTCTAATTGGAAGTTCTTAATGATTTTTGTTGTGGATTTAGATACAGAGTCTGTGGTGGTGAATTTGCTGGACAAGAAAGTGATACTGACTCGAAAATTGCAGATTCAAACAAGTAGAGTTTCAACGATCAAGAGATTGCTTGGTTCTTCTTTCTGATAATGGTGAAGATATTGTGATATATAATGGAATATTTTCAGTCACATTCGTAGATAAATAAAGGATCATACTCTTTGTTGTTTACTTTCAGCGATTATTGTTTTTATGAGAATATTAAATATTGGGTTCCGAATGCAACAAAATCATCGTACATTAAAAGATGATTTTGATCGGAGTTGAAAACATTTTAAAGGGGTGAGTCTTGCTGGAAAACATGGCTCTGGCTCAATGTAATTACGGGTTTAATCGATTAATGCTCCGTTTGTGTCGTTTTGGTTATAATTCTTTTGACATTTTTGTTGTCTATTATTGGTGTATTGGTTCGTAAGATTCCATATCGGTTGGAGAGGTAGTATGAATACCTCTCAATAGTAGATGCATTTTAAAATCATGAGGTTGACGACGATACGTAGCGAGCCAAAGCGAACAATATTTGCTAGCGGTAGGCTTGAGTTATTACATGATCGTAAAGGTAAGACGACACAACCTCCAACCAAGGAAGTGATTGCGTCTATGTCCCCCGTTATTCTTGACATGCTATGGTACCTCGGGATGGGTAGGAGCGAGTTGAGTATGTATTGCCCCACGGAGCAATAGCCACGTCAGGATCTGATATATCTACTCGATAGTTTCATATGGTGACTCCACGGACACCAAAGAAGCCCTAATAAGCATCAACATTTCCAAGAAGATCGTTGTAACGTCACGAACATCACGAATCATTAAGAAACAAAAAAAATTTAAGTGTTAGAACAATTAAAATAAAAAATTTATTCGAATTATTATTGCAACCGTTAAAATCAATCCATTAAAAGTGTTGGAATAATTATAATAAAAATAAAAAAAATTAAATATTAAAAATAAACCCTTACTTTTATAAAATTGAGTAAATATAAAATTAATTAATTTTTAAAATACATGTAAAAAAACATATATTTTTAATATTATTTTATTTAGGAAAAGTAAATAAAAATCGATTTAAATACGCAACTCACTGGGTACCGTCTCCTAAGGATAAATCACTTATAACCAACGCCGTGGCAAGTGGCCAATACGCTCGGCGCGCCTATCCGTAACTCCGGTAACCGGTTAAGTAAAATCTCGTATTTTGGAAATTATTTACATAAATAAGAAAAAAATAATTATCGTGTAAGGCTACAAGGCAACGATCTCTTTTCGACGCTCCGTTCTCTGAAGGGCTAGGACGCGTATACAGCGAAAAGGTTGAGAGAGAAACCCTAGATTTATTCCGACTTCAATGGCTAACGACGCTACTCACCGGAAGCACCGCCGATCTGCTTCCGATGAGGAGGAGGAGAAGTCCTCGAAGCGTCATAAGCATCGTCATCATCGCCGCCACCACCACAGACATCGTCACGGTAGCAATAAGAACGAAGAAGAAAGCTATCGTGACCAGGACGATTGTGTTCCTCCTGTTGCTAACCGTAGATCTCGGCTTGAAGATGATGTGGAGGAAGGGGAAATTCTGGAAGAGGATGAGTCTGGCGCTCGCGAGAACGAGAGTGCGATGAAGGAGGCGGATGTGGAATATGGGGAAATTGAAGCTGATGGAAATTCTGATAGAGCTGATCGGTCCATTGTGGTAAGCCTCCGACCAACACTATTGTATGTCAGCTTGACAAGTTGCTTGTTGCTTTACTCATACATTCTGTTTGATTGCCGTGAAATTTTGAAAAAAGACTAGGGCTATTAACGTTTGAAAATCGAAAGTAGTTTTAGGGGTTTGGTTCTTTTAGAAAATGAACAAAGGCATTTTTAACTTGTCCGTAAACAAAGAGCACGGACCTTTTACAGGTACATATACTTTTCTTCGTTCCTGTCAGTTGTCAATTGTGGATTATTTTCTTGTATTTAAATTTAGACTATGATGGAACTTTCACGGTGACATTTTGTTAGATTTATTCAGTGTTTCCTTGCTCATGTAAGAATCTGATTGCACCTCACGAAATCAAGTGAAATTCAAAAGAAGTTTCAGTAGGCGTTTCAATGAAGATTCAGGCTTGCATTTAATTTGTAAGATCTGGTTACGTGTTTCTTACTATGCATCTATGCTGCCTGACTGTAATTTCACTGGGACTTCGTTATGCAAGCACCTGCACTAAGCCTTTATTCTATATTGGTTTTGCAGGAGCGTTATTCGGTGGATGAATCATCAAATACCGAGGCAAATTTAACAGTGAAAAAGGGAGCCGGAATCTGTCCTCAAGATCAGAAGATTTTGAAAGAGAAGAATAAGTTATTTAATTTAGTAGACAAAGATGGCTATTATCTAAAAAAAGACTTAGGGGAGGAAAACACGACTTTCTACCAAACTAACAGTGGCCATAAACATGGCAATGACATTAGCTTTTCCAGAAGTGAAGTGACTGGAACTAAATACGGCGATCTTGAACCCTGTCTAGAGGGTCGTAACAAAAGTGAATTTGATCAAGGATCTCTTGAGTTAGATGAGAGTCGCCACAAAAAAATGTCATCTTTTTCCAAAGGTGGCAGTATGAAAATAAGCGACATGGACAATAAAAAAGTGGTAACAGACAGAAGCACCTTGGGGAATTCAAAAAGGCCACAGTTGGAAAGGGCTGAAGACAAGTCCCAGGATTTTACGCCATCAACATCTCATGATCGATTCATTGATGCATCAGATTGTAGGAGTAGATCAACGTCAAATTCTCACTTCAGGGGGCAATCTCAGTCTCGTGAAACAGCAGAAGAGGAGGTGGAATCCAAGAGGAGTCATCATCGTGGTTCAGATCGTTTGGGATTTGATGAGTATGCTAGGGGAGAGGGAAGGCATCGAAGCAGGGATACAAAGGACAGAGGGAGAAGTAAGATAGAGGTGGATAGGGACTGGTCAAAGGAAAAAGAACGCGAAAAAAGCAAAGATAAAGATATTGAGAGAGATAAGCACAAGTATGATGAAAGAGAAAGAGGAAGGAGTAGGGATGGAAGAAAGGAGGTAGAACGAAATAGGAGTAGGGAAAGAGAATTGGGTAGAGATAGGAGGAGGGAAAAGGATGTGGAAAGAGACAGGAGAGTGAAGGAAAGGGATCGTAGTAGGGAAAGGGAGGCAGAAAGAGATAGAAGAGTGGATAAGGAAAGAGATTGGAGTAGGGAAAGAGAGGTAGAGAGGGATAGAAGAGCAGAGAAGGAAAGATGTAGGAGCACAGATAGAGAGGGTAATAGGGATAGAAGAAGAGAAAGGGAAAAAGATAGGAGCAAGGACAAAGAAGTGGACTGGGATGGGAGAAGGGATAGGGACAGAGCTCGGAATGATGATAAGGAGGCCGAATATAGTGATAGAAACAGAGACAAGGAAAGGGTGAGGGAGATGTCAAGGGACCGGTTCAGGGACAAAGAATCAGATAGAGAGAGACGAGATGATAGAAATAAAAATAAAGCCAGTGATATTTTAAGTAGTAAGGATAAGTATGGGAACCTTGAACATGGCTATACTAAAGTTTCTAGTAAGCAGTCTAGACGTTATGAGAATGAATCTGGTCAGAATGGAGGAAGAAATGCTTATGAAAAGCATGGTAGTTTTAAGAAAAATGCTCTTGAAGGAGGTGAAGGCAATCTAATGAGGTAATTTTTTTTAAATAATTTTTTTTGGTTTCCTTTATGTAGTGTGAAGCCATTATCTATTATGGTTCAACTTCTCTCTGTATAGTGATCACGATGAAGAGGAAGAGGATGAGGACAACATGTCATTTCAATTTGCTGATCAAGAAGAGGAGTACCTTAACAGAATCAAGGAGGAGAGTAGAAGGAGGAGTCAAGCAATCTTAGAAAAATACAAGTGTCAGCAGTTAGAGAAACAAGTAAAGCCTTCTTTGAAGGAATCCGAGAAAGGTAATTTTCAAATATCCCTAAAATTTAAAATTTCTGCATTTTCTTGGATTATAATTATTTTCAGGAGAAACCAACAAGTATGGACTTAGGTTCTTATTTGATACTCAAAGTTTCCTATTGCATAATCATAGCACTTGAATATAGTTTATCTTAGCTCCGTTCACCTCCTCTCCCCGATGTCACATGGTTAATTCACACACGGTCTTACCTTCCCACATTTAAGGATTAGGTTAATTTGTAAATCCTGTCTACCTGCTATCTAGAGCAACTGAGTTAAGTTGGTTTCTATTTCTCTTTGAGAGAGATTAAGTTAAAAACTTCTGATGGAGATGTTGGTAGGTCTGCTACTTAGGCAGGCAACTTAGTGACTTTCTCTGTCTCACTTACACAACGATTTATCTTGACCAGATAAGGATTCCACAGATGATTCTTCTCAATCAGAAGCTGGTGCTCATGCTATTCCAGACTTGGTTGATGGAGTGGTGGATGATAGTGTTGCTGACTCATCTTTTGTTGTGGAAAAATCACCACAACAAAATGGAATAGCTGCGTCGGATAAAACTGTTGGTACCAAAGGACTTGGAGAGGGTACTCCAAAGGTGCGCAGAATGCTCTCTTATGTGAGAGGGTAGATTCCTTTTTTTCCCCTGAAATTCTTTTTAGAACTTCAAAGTCTTATTTGAGCTCCACTTTCTGAAATTTTTGCTTCCGTAGTTATGCCTTTTATTTTATCATCTTAAAATTCTTTGATATTGATAAGTGCAGGCTGAGGGGTCAGATGGAATATTCTGTGACGATATTTTTGGAGAAACACCTGCTGCAGTTCGTAAAATGGTATGAGAAACTATGATTTTTGCAGTTTTCTTTTTTCCTATTGTTTAAGGGCCATGAGATATTTTTTCCCCCCTTGTTTGCAGGGCAAAGGAGATGGTTTGCGTATAGAGAGGAGTGGTCTTCATGACAATTGGGACGATGCAGATGGATATTATAGTAAGTATTCAGATATATTTGTGTATCTCACATGTATGGCTGAGATTTATAAGTGAAATACCATCCACATGCTGTAATACAACACATTAATATTCATAGAAACTGGGATGTATATGGTGAGATTTATAGTTAAAATGGGAGTCTCAGATTATATTATGGCGTGTTTAAATTTTAACGATGCATCTTAATTAAAAAATAAGTACGGAGTGGAAACATGACTGGGTTTCTTGGTCTTGCATTCTTGTCTCTTAGAATCTTAATGCTGTTAACTTATTTCATGTTTGCATTTTGGCCTCCAGAAAAATTGTTTTGCTTACATTATTTTTGCCTCTGTTCTGATGCTGTCCATTGAAATTAACTGCTGTTAATCGATAGATATCTAATAATCTTGCTGGGATCCACTTACATTAGGTCTTCTGGTATTCTTGTGAAGGTGTTGACTTGTTTAGTTTCATTCTTTATACTTTATTTTTGTGCATCTAGTCTACTAGATTATTTGTTGCATCTAAATTATGAAGTCGAGTAGCAGAATAATCAAAGAATTTATTTTATAAAGTTGTTGCAAAGGTTTAGGTTCAAATATATATTTTGCTGTCAAAAAATATATTTCTAGATTTTATAATTTTTCTGTATTTGGAAAACATATTTAATTCATCTAGTTTTCTTTTTCTTATTTAACTTTGGTGTTGATTACAGACTATCGATTTGGTGAAGTCCTTGATGGTCGGTATGAAATTGCTGCTGCTCATGGCAAAGGTGTCTTTTCAACTGTAGTCCGTGCCAAGGATCTCAAAGGTGGTCATGATGAACCAGAAGAAGTGGCAATCAAAATTTTGCGTAGTAATGAAACAATGTATGTCTTTCTTGCTTTATTCTAGTGATGCTATTCTGGTGTTCACTTTGTTGCATGATCAAGTACTTGATGCTCCACTGCATCCTGTGATATACAGGTACAAGGCTGGTTTGGAGGAGTTGGTCATATTGAAAAAGCTAGTAGGTGCAGATCCAGATGACAAGCGTCACTGTGTTCGTTTTCTTTCAAGTTTCAAATATAGGAATCATCTTTGTTTAGTTTTTGAATCTCTACATATGAATCTACGTGAGGTCTTGAAGAAATTTGGGCGCAATATTGGCCTTAAGCTAACTGCTGTGAGGGCATACGCTAAGCAGCTTTTTATTGCCCTGAAGCATTTGAGAAATTGTGGTGTTCTACATTGCGACATAAAGCCGGATAATATGCTGGTATGTTTTCGAGTTTCAATTCTAGTGACTTCCTTTTTAGTTGGCTCTCTTTTATATGCCCTTGTATTCTCCCTTTTTTTTTTCTCAATGAAAGTTCGTTTATTTATAAAAAAGGATTTAATTCTATTGAATTGGTTAATCTTATTTTTTCTTACGATGCTTGATTAATTTTTCAGGTCAATGAGGGCAAAAATGTGCTGAAGCTTTGTGATTTTGGCAATGCCATGTTTGCTGGTAAAAATGAAATTACCCCATACCTTGTTAGCCGGTTTTATCGTGCCCCTGAAATAAGTAAGTTTTTTGGGTCCTTGTTTTCCACATCTGATGAATCTGGTGGTCTGAATAGTGAATTTATTTTTCATTTGTTACTGATAATTTCTTTCCAGTAATACAAGTTATTACTTCACTGATGTCATTTTGCATGTTGCAGTTTTAGGGCTGCCGTATGACCATCCAATGGATATCTGGTCTGTGGGTTGCTGTTTGTACGAGCTGTCTACAGGAAAAGTCCTTTTTCCAGGTCCTTCTAACAATGACATGCTGCGCCTGCACATGGAATTAAAGGGCCCTTTTCCAAAGAAGATGCTCCGCAAGGTACATAATTTTGATCCACAAGATGGAATTTTTAATAGCAATTTGTCTTTCAGTTACAATTTGAAGTTTTAACACGTTTATTGCTACTGATGATTTTTACAGGGAGCATTTACTGACCAACATTTTGACCAGGACCTGAACTTCCATGCTTCTGAGGAGGATCCTGTTACCAAAAAGGTAATTATTTTGACCCCTTTTCCTGGTTTCTGAGTCCAAAGGCACACATTTTTGAGTGTTGTAGTGTCACGAAAATTAGAAATTTTCTGGCATAAATGATTGCTACTTTTCTTAAATTATTTTCTGGACATCAAAGTTTATTTTTGCAGCTTTTATAGAAAATATTCTCAGTTTGGAGATTTTATGAGACTGGGTTTATTATTTTTATTATTATTATTATTATTTTGCATAAGTGGTATTGTGTTTTGAATGCATCACTTGCCACCCAAGGTTTTTATATCATCATTACTGATTGAGATTTGAATTTTACTTTTGCAGACCATAAAGCGAATAATAGTCAATATAAAGCCTAAAGATATTGGATCAATTATTAGGGGATCTCCTGGTGAAGATCCAAAGATGTTAGCCAATTTTAAGGATCTTCTTGACAAAATTTTTGTATTGGATCCAGAAAAAAGGATGACAGTATCACAAGCATTGAACCATCCGTTCATCACTGGCAAGTGATCAATGATGCTGCTTTTATGACACCAGAGTTTAGTAGTTTTCTTGTAAATTATGACCTAATTCATACAGTTTCTAATCACTTGGTATTGCCAGTCTTATTTGTGATGACCTAAGCTTCTGGCACAATTATGGGATGATTGAATTCAGAAGGGGTCATATTGGTCAGGAGTGGCGGGTTCTTTCAGTGGAATGTACTGTTTCTATTGTAAGACAACTTGCTGAAAGCGTTTCTTCCCCTTGTAATCATTCTTGATTGTGGCCGTTATAAAATTTTGTTCATACTTGCTTTTCCCCCATTATTTCTTTTATTTTGTACTACAAACATTGTCTGTAGTAGGCTTGCAGGGAACTTAGTGGGGACAAAAAAATAAAATAAAACCATTAAATTTACTGCTTTGGCAAATAAAAATTATTCTTTTTTGGAAGACAGGTTGTATATTATATTATATGCAGTGCTTAATTTTTATTTGGTTTTTAATGCTATTACTTTGTGATTTTCCTTACTATTATGGAGGCTGGCAAGATGTTATCTTCTGCAGTCCTCTCTTTCCCACGTCTCTTTCTCTCGAGCCATTTTGTTTCTTACTTTCAGGTTCTCAAGTGTCTAATATAGTTTTTCCTTCAGGATGCCTGCTTCTGCTCTGAGAGAACCTTCCAGTGCTTAAGTGATTTAGAGGCACTCAGAAGAAGGTACCTTGGTTTGTTTTATTGTGAGAAGATTGCGATAAAGTTGATATTAGTTAATAAATGTTTGTCTATTTATTTTCCTTAAGGTTGGATTGTTAAATCAGTAGTCTTCCAGTTCTAATCCATTAATGCTGCTTGTTTGTGAATAGTCCATATTTGCTTTATTCAGACATAGTCAGATGCATATATACTAATGCACCATTATTTGTTTTATTATGGAAAAAACCTACCTAGTGGAGGGTCGTTGGGGAACGAGGATATGCAATAGTAATTCAGAAACGAATTTTCAACAAGAATTGTTATTTATTATTACCTCTTCATAATATTCCACTGTATAATGGTGTTTGTAATATGCATGCAATTGTTGTATGTTTCCGTTGGAACATTTTAAGCTATCGATTGCAGTTGGTATTGTCAATATCATGTTTAACTATAGTTGTTTTCAAATTTTATTTGGTATCTTTAGTCGTTTGAATTTCCTAATGAATTGCATTGTGCTGATCCATGATATGGTCTTTTATGGAGGCACTAGCATTGGAGAGCTGTGGTACCATGTGAAGTAGTGTTGCAGTGAGTAACGCTGTCATATATGTTCTTTTCTATCCTTATATGCGAGATAGGAGCCTTGAAGTTTACCTTTTTAAAGGTTCATTATTTTAATAAGATCTCGTTATCTTTTTTAGGGCAAACTTCCCATCATCCCCATTCTCTTGTAAGTATTTCCAATTCCATACAACTCCATTGGCATAGTTTTCTTCTTTGTATTATTTCTTAGAAAGAACACAGCGATTCAAGTTTATGAAAGTATCAAGGATAAACTCTAGGATATCTTAAATACTTGTCGTGTGCACAATAATTTGATGATAAAAATGAATGCATCAAACTAGCAGAGCTCCTGATCTGAAAAGCAAAGCAAAAATAAAAATATATGCATCTTATTTCAGTCTGAGATCCCTATGGAAGTTTAATATCACGACTTTTGTATCAATATTGTTGCAGGTCTTGGACATATATAAGAGTGTCTTACTTTTATCATTGAGGTGTTGCAATGATTTAATTTTCAATTATATTTCTTCCGTGGATTTATCATAAAATAAGGTTAGGATGAAGAGCATCAACCCAAATGTTGCGGAGTACTGGTGATACAAATGTTGTGATGAGGATACATTCTTTAGTATTTTATAAAAATTTCTATGCAAATGCTTATCATAAGTTGATTTCTCTGCCATGAAAATTAGTTGGTTAAAGGAAATAATTCTACTCCATTCTTGATCAAATATATATACAATGGAAACGGTGATTTCTTTTGCTACAATAATTCTTATACGTTTAATCATAGAATGCAATCTATTTTGTACTCAGGTGCTAAGAAGCTTGAGCTTGTACTTGAGACGTAGAGTTTTGATTTTGAAGTAGGTCATTATCATTTAAAAATACTATAGTAAATAATGAATAGAATATTACTTTTGATGTAAAGGCCATACTAAATATGGGATTTTGAGATGTTTAACATTTCGGTAGATTGAAAATCAAATGACCTTGTGACCAACTGTATATGCCTTTGTATCTGTTTTATAAAGTGTTGGATTGTGAAGTATTCTGTTTCTTGCTTGTCTTTCTAGTTGTCGTTTGTACTCGTCATTTTTCATGATATGGCCAGGAAATTTTTACGTCTAGTTTATTTCACTCTTTGGTCTACTTATGCAGATTAGATTTAAGTTCGCATATTTGATTCTCCTCTATTGTTCATCATATTAGATGTTGCTTTCCCATTCACTAGTAATTCTAAAGAGAGATGAGGAATGAAGCCAATATACTGCATTAATTACTCATGTGAGCCTTTCTTGGAACTCGATGGGTTAGAAGCCAATATACTGCATTAATTACTCATCTTATGTTTTCAATTCTCTCATCCATGTCTTGTGTGTCCATAAGTAATTCTTGGAAGTGATTGAAGTTATTTCCCCCATACCNCCCCCCCCCCCCCCCCTCCTCCTCCCACACACGCACTATTGTTAGGTTTACACGTGTAGTTTAAGATGATCTCAAGGTTTCAGAGATGTCCATTCCGGTGCTTTTTCAGGACTACTACAATCTTATTCTTATATCAAATTCTATGTGAAATCCTCAAATTAATACTTGTTGAAGATATAATTTGATAAACAGGTCTTGCTTTCATTTGGATTTATTTGCAGAATATCTGGATATGATTATGTTAATTCACGTTCTTTCACATTTGGTCAATAGTTATGATTTTCAAGTTGTCCATGTTCTGAGCTTTTCGGGGAAATTTTGTTGAACCTAGAGATATGATTATGTTAATTCACGTTCTTTGCTCGTGAAGTCCCAGTGAAAATAAATTTTCAGAAGCAAGAGGCTGATGCAACTTTTCCAGGCGTTGTCTCGGTCAGTTTCTATGCATCAGGATTGACCTTGTCTCTGGTGATTTTAGTTGATCTAGATGATCTAGAGAGTAGTGTGTACTAATCTCATGTGAATAAACTCATTATTCCGGAAACGGTACAATTCTCGGACGAGCTTGGAAAATTGGATGGGTTATTTAATCATGATTCATTTTGCTAATCTTAATGGTTGTGCTGTATTTTCCAGGTCTACTAACAGCGTTAAGGGTGTGCATGGTCCGGTTTTGGGTTGAACCTAGAGAACGATCCAAACCTATCGGTTTCCAACATGATTAAATCTACGAAGCTGAGTGATTACTTGGTTTTGGTTTTCTACAAAACCAATTTTCCATTATAGGTGATCATAGTCATTTGAAAATGCTACGCCCTGTTGGATGGATACGAAGAGGAATACATATCTTCAATCATTTTAGTGCATTTAATGCAATCTAATTCCTGTACATTGCCGCTATTTGCTTGGGGAGGAAGTCAATCTGATGGATTTCCCCTCGTCGTCAATAGCATGGGCCCCCTCATATTTCAGGTCTTTGGCAATCTTTTGTGCTTTGGTGGTTCTAAAGCAAGGCAATATCTACGAAATAGCTATTATGCTTTCTTCATCTGAAGGGTCATTCAGAAAATTCTTCAGCTTTCTAGACACTCGGATTTGGTTGGTATCGTACTTGACCCAATCATCTCTTCCCTTGGAATCAGAAGTGAAAAAAAGTCTTTCAATAAAAGCTAATAATGGTTTTTTGTATCATTATTTCACCTTTTCACTCGTTTAATTTTCCAGCTGGGATAGGTTTTCACCACCTGCTAACGTGTACAGATTTTCATCTTGGGTGATACCAACTTTTCCTTAAAATCTCTAGGTATGACACTTCGTTCTTGAAATTCTTGAATTTTGTACTAAGATTTAATGAAATTTTTTACGTGTGATAGCACGAAAACCGATTCAAGACCTATTTTGTTTATAGACAACAAAAATTGAGTTGCTGCATAACAAAACTGATAATTATAATTTTGATGGTATTATTTTATAGGGGGATTAATTTGTCACAAATTTTAAAATATTAGGACTAAATTATTGTATTGGTTAGATTCAAGCACTAAATAATATGAAAGTACATTAATGAAATTATTATAAACAATGAAATCATTTCTAGCATGAATGTTAGCGAAAGTGTTTTACAAATTTTTAGTATTTTTTTTTAAAAATCTACCTTGTTTAAAAAGTTTAGCTGGTTCCCTTGTCATAAAAGTGGATTATTCTTCATGTTCTAGAGTAATCGTAATCGATTCCATTCTTTTCAATCTTAACTACAGGTTTTGACAATATACTTGGTAGATTTAAAATTGGAATACTTGCGAAGAACATGGGTTAAATCGGACCACTAAAATACGTGCTTGTGGTGGTAGATCAGGAAGACCGGTCTCTACCCCTTGAGTTCTTCGGTTCGATGGTTACACTGATTTCGAGGTTGGTTTTTTTCACACGCCAACCGCGTCAAAACCAATACCTTCCCTTTTTCTTTTCTACACGTTTCATTCACTTGTAATTATTGTGACTTTTTGTCCGTACTTGTGTTCACATTTATTGTTATATTATAAATTTGATTTTTTAAGATATTTTAAATTTGTTTCTCTTGATCCTTTAATCTTATTCATATAAAATTAAAAGTTTAAAATTTTGTCACACGTCATTCGACTCTTCACTATGATATGATATTGTATACTTTGAGCATAAGCTCTCATGACTTGGCTTTGAGTTTTCTCAAAAAGTCTCACTCTCATGACTTTGCTTTGAGTTTTTCCAAAAAGTCTAATACCAATGGAGATAATATTCCTCGCTTAAAAACTCGTGACCATTCCTTAAATTAGCGACTTTCATCATCCAACACCTCCCCTCGAACAAACAAAGTATGCCTCCCCTTAATCGAGGCTCAACTCCTTTTTCTTTTGGAGTCTTAATCATTTTTTATTATGCCTTATAGGAGACTTGACTCTTTTTCTTTTAGAGTTCTTTGTTCGACATTTGAGGATGTACCAATCTATTGGCACAACTAAGTTTAAGGCATGACTCTGATACCATCTTAGACAAACTCGACCTCCACAATTAAAATTTCTGTTTTAACTAACTACAAAACCCCAACAATTAAAACATGGTTTTTTTCCTTTTTTTTTTCCGCGCATGAAAAATGACTAATGAGAAAACAACCAAAGATTATGAACTAATTCAAAATAAGGCAACTTGGTAATTGAATAGATTATAAAAAGTTCATTTTTTTCATGACCTAAAGTCAATACCTGTATCCTTATGGTATCTTCCACCATATTTGTCCTTTTGACGTGGCTGTGTATTTTAAAACCTCTGTCCCTCCAAGAGCTTTGTCAGTGGTCTCTTCTCTTCTCCCATTGCATCAAAGCTTTCTCATCAGCCGCCATTAGAACCAGCGTTGAGTAATTCATCAGCATGGGAAAAAAGCTGGATGCCTTTCTTGGAAGAAGCTTCAAGACCACCAGGTTCAAAGCTCTTGTCAATTTGGCCATCTCTCGCCTCGCTGTTCTTGCAAACCAGCGCCAGGTGAGACACACCCATGCTCGTTCTGATGTAGTTCAGTTGCTGCAGCTTGGTCATCATGAGAGAGCTCTGCTTCGTGTAAGATCATTCATTTCTTTTCATATTCCTAAGCATGGGTTTTGGCTTCCTAACTTTGCAAGCTTCATACCAAGAGTTTTTATTGTTTTTGACAGGTTGAGCAGGTGATTAAAGAGCAGAAACTGCTGGATGCATATGCCATAATAGAGAGCTACTGTGAGGTTGTATTGGAAAGAATAAAGCAACTTGAACATGAAAGGTTGGCAACTGAACCTGTAAACATGTAAACTAATCTATAATCTTCGATGGGTCTTGATTCTTAAGAGTTTTATTTTGATTATGTAGGGAATGTCCTGAAGAGCTGAAGGAGGCAATTTCAGGTTTGATTTTTGCATCTTCTAGATGTGGGGATTTCCCTGAGCTTGTAGAGATTCGTTCAGTTATTGCCAGTCGTTTTGGGAAGGATTTTACTGCTAAGGCTATAGAGTTGCGCAACAATTGTGCTGTGAGTCCAATGGTATGCTATGATTTGTGTTGTTCTAATCATTTCACTTCAACTAGTGGAGCTTGGGTTTGTATGCTAAATTTCCTTCGGTGCATTTCACTTAATCATGTGGTCATCTTTGGTCTTTCAGATAGTGCAGAAGCTATCATCTAGGCCACCAAGTTTGGAGATTAAAATGAAGTTACTCAAACAAATTGCTTCTGAAAATGGTGTTACTTTGAAAGATTTGGAGGGTTATGAAGATTCAACTGAGGTACTTCAAGTAACTAATGAGATAGAAAGTTACTATCTATTATGTTGGGAAACTTTCTAAAATCTACATACTTGAATTGAACAAAATAGATGCAGGAAAAAGTTGTTGCAGAAGAGAACAAGGATCAACCAGCGCAGGAAACTAAAGTGGAAGGTGTTTTTCAGATTTTACCTGAAGAGATAGAGAAAGACAGTCGATATGCCGATTCGATGAGAGGAAGGAGGAAGTTCAAGGATGTGGCCGATGCAGCTCAGGCAGCATTCGAGTCTGCGGCTTATGCAGCAGCTGCAGCGAGAGCTGCTGTGGAACTCTCTCAATCTAAATCACTTGATCAAGATGATCTGAATACTCTGAGTACAAAACCTAGAAAATCATCTGAAACTGATGAGTCCAAGAACATTGAGATTGAATTAGAATCAGAAAACAAGGTAATACACAGGGGAAGCACGTCTATAGAAGTGGAGGAAAGTGAAAGTCCAGCAGAATTGATGCAGCCAGTGTCTTCTTCTAGTTCAGAAGCAGGGGATGTTAGTTTGAAGGATAATGAGATTCCAATTGAAGCAATAAATATAATCGAACTGCTGGAGACGGATTTGGCTTTTGATGAGAGTGATGTTGATGCTGGGAATGGAGAAAGCAGCAGTTCAACTCTTGAGGAGAAAAATTCAAGCTTCCAGAGTTGCGAGAAGATGGAATCAGAGTCTGCAGAGATCATAACAAACATAGAGGAATCAGATAACAAAAGTAGTGAACATTTAAGCATAGGGGATGAGGCTGTTGTTAGGACAACAGATGTGCGTGGACACTGAAGAGATTGAATATATTGTATCATGGGTGGCGTCTGTTTAAAGATAATAAGTTTTGTAAGTAGGATTCATTTATTCTAAGAACTTTGTGATGATATATTGTGCAAATAGTTAAGTGGGATTCATGAATATCAAAATTTTCTGTGTGTTGTAAAATTTGGAGCTTATTTTCTGTCCCCTCCCCGGAGACATACAACATTCTTTTCACTTATGGATGCATCTAATCATGACGAACAGTTTTAGTATACTCATAATGTAATCAACTATGCTGGAACAGTATTAGTGTCCTCATCACCTAATCCATCACTAAATGAACATAAATTTTCTTACTTTCCATGGAAATGGAACCTTGTTAGGCAACACATGAGGCTAAAGGCTGATGCATTAACCTAGTGCAGATAAGAAAGGAATCTGTTTTCTTAAGTTCACACAACAGCAGAACAATATTAATTTAGTTCACAGGTCAATCAATTGAGGGAAAGATCTCTGGAGTTTTCTGATTCAACAATTTAAGAACCCTACGGACCAAGAAAGAGTGTCAGAGACGGCAGTTTCTTTTACTGAGAATTACAGTAAATAAACGGTATCTTCACTCAGCATGAATCAACGAAAAGCAACTTGAGAAGTATTTGTGATACAAAAGGCAAGCTCTAAGCAGACAGAATCTACCTGTATTTGCCTTAACGGATTGAATAAAGAGAAGTAATATAAGCAAATAATTCTTCTTTGTTTTACTCCTGTTGGACGTCCCAAATTGTGGTATCACTCACCTTCCCCTGGGTCGTTTTCGAGTTTGTGGTAACATGTCGGTGAATGACTGCAAATTTACACCTACATCTTCATCATATTCAATGCCAAGTTCTTCCTGCAAGAATCCAAAGTATTTAATTCAAACAACTGAGTAAAAACAGGCAGAGCAAAATGACATGATAGAACCTTGAATTCTTTTAGATCCTTAGGTGAGTTCTCGGTGATGGTATCCCATAGATCTTTGAACATTCTTTTTCTCCTTCGCCACTGGCTTAATTTCTCAGAGTATATATGCTCAATTGCTTTGCGGTCTTCTGGCTTCACCAGTGTAACACCTTCGCGCAATATTTCCAATTTGTCTACCAATTCCTTAACCTGACAAACATTTATCAAAAAAGAAGTGTTTTGAAACCTTAACAACAGATAAAAAGGGTCGGGCGTAACATAATCACTTATCTGAACAAAGTAAAGTTACAACTATCTCATTTAGCATCTATCTACCTCCTTTCTGAGCCTGGCTTCTTTTTCCCGCATCTGTTGCAGCGTTAAATTTGACTGCAAAGTTCGTATTTCTGTTGCAAAAGTTCATGGCAACATAATTTTCATGTTCTTGCCGTAATTGGAAAGGCTCAAGTGATATATAAGATTTACATTATTGAAGAATTCTTTGAAATTCACGCGTGGGATTACCTTCTTCAA